GTCCGAAACGTCGTGAGAATTATGTTAATGTTTTATTTTTATTATTTATTATTTCCATTCTACGTGAAAAAAGCTTTAAATCGAAACCCAGGCCATGTTATGGTGTAAACCAGCCATGAGTAAAGCACAAACCATTGGTAAGGTGTACACACCCGAATAGCACGATTGGCTATGTACGGTGAGAAATACGTTCAACATACATACATACTTATTGCGCAACCCAAGCCGCTGCGATGAAGTGTACAATGCCGAACATTGGTGGAGCAAAGGGGGCGCAAGGCAGGTAACCAGCAGGGCACAGTGCTCACCACGCTGCTGTTGAGAAGCACCACTTGGTTGTAGTGAATCCAGCGGATGCTCGCCGCGTGTCCCCGCACTGCGCGTTCGTACCAGCGCCTCGCCTCTGCGGTCACAGTCGCACGCAAACGTCGATCGTGAAACTCAAATGTAAATCATCGCGCACAACCAAACAGAGTTGACCAAACGAGTTGCCCCCTCCCGTTCGTTAATAAACACTATTTCTCCTGCGGAGGGAGCTGGTAGGAACGTTGGGTTGCTCGGTCAATGGCCTGCAGGGTAACGGCGGCGTGGTGTATTCCGCAATATGCCAAGACTGTGAGGGCGGGCACAAGCCGGCGTGAGTAGGTTAAACGTTGAGTTTTATAAGGGCAACCACGGGGTGACCAGCCCCTCCCCACCCAGCCACACACAGCCCCTCCCCACCCTCCCCACCCTCCCCCTCCCCACCCAGCCCCTCCCCACCCAGCCACACACAGCCCCTCCCCACCCTCCCCACCCAGCCCCTCCCCACCCAGCCACACCCTCCCCTCCCCACCCAGCCCCTCCCCACCCAGCCCCAGCCCCTCCCACCCCCCACCAAGCCCCTCCCTCCCCACCCAGCCCCTCCCTGCACGACCGACACAATAATCCCCTGTGGGCTGGTGTAACCAGGAGGTTCCTACCCAGTATAAACCCAACTCTCTTAAATCAAACTCTTGCTTTTTCCCAGAACTCTTCTCCCCCCCCCCCCCCCCCCCCCCCCCCGAGAGGTCAACACATGAATGAGATTAAGAAATCGCAACTTTAAACATTCGTGCCATTTACGCTAACTTTAAATAGATACATTCAGGGTCTTACCAGAAAGGCCACATTTATGTACATAAAAGCATTCAAATAGGTTTTACACTGCAGCACTGTGAATTAGATTTAAAAAAACATAACACGTTAGCTATGATTAAAATCCCATATGCGTCTGCACACTTTAGTTTGGCTCATTCCACACTTCAGCTGGGAAAAACCTGAGTGAAACCACATGCAGATTTTTCAAAGCATTGAAATAGAAATACACTTGAGAAAATGAAAGCGTACAAGCTTGACAACACTCACCAGGTGTTTAGCTTTTTCGCTGAGTTCATCGGCAAACAGAAGCAGATCAACCTCAGAAATGCCTTTGTTGAGCTGTAAGGAAATTAAAAACACAAACTTTAACGTGCAATGTTCTAGACCAGGCGGCACGACATGCACAGCAGATAAAAACCCACCCAACTATTTCAGCACAATATTTCCAACTGGACATTATGCAATCATTGAAGGCACATATCACGATGTCTAAGTGACGCAGTGGTTCAAGGGGTTTGGAAACGCTTGCTTTAGACAACTTGGCAGTGCAAATGTTCAGTCATGGACCATGGCTCCCACAAACCAGGGCTGTGGTATTTTCCACACACTACAAAAGACATTGATTGTTAATACCTCCTTACCACCTCAGTGAGATATTTCAATTAATCAACAAAGTGAGGACATCGCCCATTTATATTTCTGATTGTAATTTACGAAACAAAAAAAAACTTCCACGATGCAATTCCCAAGTTGTGTTTTGTCCTTCTCAACGAATGCATCGTGCAGTTAAACTGCAGCGTGGGTTCCAGGAACTGCCCCTGCGTTTGGGTCACTGTTGTTCACAGCCAGATGAGCCGGGACTACGAGCGAGGGCATCACGCTGATAGTTTATTATTACTACCGGCATCATATCGTCTTAGCAACCACGATCCTCCTCCCGCAGTGTTCACGGCCATGAGAAGCACTGCCCGGGACCTCTTGCCGTGGGATATTTATGTTTCATTGCGGAGAGCGGCTATAATTCCACAAACCACCACCCCCCCCACCACCTCCCGAATCCTTTCAAAGCAAAAACAAAAACGGATGGGCACGTGTAATTATATTTTTCCAAGAATGGAAGGCTACGTAAAAAAAAAAAAGAAACTGTATTATACGTGTACACAAACACCAACATCATTACACAGCTTTACCCAGTAAAATATGAAGTTTTTTTAAAACTATCTAACAGCATGCCACCTTGCACCAATGAATGCTTCTCGTGTGTGAAGGAGAAGCCGACACAAGGTGGCAGGGGCTTCGTCCTGTACTCCCCTTCTCCCATCCACAGCTGTCCCCAGCCGTCTCAATCTCGCTCCCCTCTTCCCGCCCGTGCTCTCCCTCACGTCTCCTCGATTAGCCCTCCCCCTTCTCCTGTCACTGTTCCACTAACCCTCCTATTGGTGGGAATCCTTCCCCTGACACCCCTACACACGTGTACAGGTGTAGTGGGTGACACCACGTCACGCGCGCCCTCGTAGAGAGCGGCGTCGCGGGACGTGACGTCAGGCGGGGGGCCGTGGGTGACGGTGACGTCATGCCCCAGGGGGGTATTTAAAGGGGGACCCGGGATGGAACCGGGGTTCGTCGGGGGTAGGAGTGGGGACTCGGGTAGGTGATCCTCACACGAGACTAGGGGAGGCTACTCCGCCGAGGTTGGGGTAGTCCCGGGCCGGGGCAGGGTGGAGAGCCGAGTTAGCCGGCGTTGTAGGGATCACGGTACCCTGTCCCATGGGGAGTTGTAGGCTAGGCTGGTTTGGTTCGGCGTGAGCCTTTAACCACCTGGCGTGAGCCCTTAACCACCTGGCGTAAGCCCTTAACCACCTGGCGTGAGCCCTTAACCACCTGGCGTAAACCCTTAACCACCTGGCGAGAGCCCTTAACCACCTGGCGTGAGCCCTTAACCACCTGGCGTGAGCCCTTAACCACCTGGCGTGAGCCCTTAACCACCTGGCGTGAGCCCTTAACCACCTGGCGTGAGCCCTTAACTGGGCCCTACCACTGGCGTGAGCCCTTAACCACCTGGCGTGAGCCCTTAACCACCTGGCGTGAGCCCTTAACCACCTGGCGTGAGCCCTTAACAAACCTGGCGTGAGCCCTTAACCACCTGGCGTAAGCCCTTAACCACCTGGCGTGAGCCCTTAACCACCTGGCGTAAGCCCTTAACCACCTGGCGTGAGCCCTTAACCACCTGGCGTGAGCCCTTAACCACCTGGCGTGAGCCCTTAACCTCTTCTTCCTAGCGTTGTTCCCGCTGTGGCGCAGGGTCCGCTTTTCGGCATTGTCTTCTCCATTTGGCTCGGTCCAGGGCATCTTCAGGGGATACGTTGACCGTCTTTATGTCTTCCTTTATTCGATCCATCCATCGCTTCTTTGGACGTCCGCGTGGACGGCGGCCCTCTGGCTCAATACGCATGGCAGTCTTGGCCACTGATGACTCTTCACTTCGCATCACATGGCCGTACCACCGAAGCCTTGCCTCAAGCATCTTGTCCGCAATGGGGGCCACACCAAGTCGCTTCCGAACGTCTTCGTTCATGACACGATCCCATCGAGTGAGTCCGAGGCTCCATCTGAGCATCCTCATCTCCATGGTGTGGAGAGCTTGTTCGTGTACAGTTGTGGCTGGCCAGCACTCGGATCCATAGAGTGCCACCGGTCGGACGATGGTCTTGTAAATTTTTCCCTTCAGCCTATCCGGCATTTTCCTATCACAGAGGACTCCGGTGACTTTCCTCCACTTCATCCATGCCGCATTGACTCGTGACCTCACATCAGTCGTGATGCTACCATCTGAGCTGATGGTGGAGCCCAGGTACTTAAAGTCCGTCACTTTCTTCAGATCTTCTCCGTCAATGCTGATGGTGCCGTCGGTTTGGGGGCCACACTCCATATACTCTGTCTTTTTGATGTTGAACCTCATCCCGTTTTCGTCCAAACGTTCCTTCCACAGGCGCGTTTGTCTTTCCACTTCTCCTCTCTCTTCATCTGTGAGGAGGACGTCATCCGCGTAGAGAATTGACCATGGCAGGGGCGTGTGCAGGTCGGCAGTGATTGTGTCCATGCACAGGATAAACAGGAGTGGTGACAGGGCCGATCCTTGGTGCACTCCAACGCTGATGGGAAATGGCGGTAATATGCCCACTGCACACCTGACTGCACTGGTGACGTTCTTGTATAGGAGTTGCACCCAATGCACGTAGGTTTCAGGGACTCCATGGGATCGAAGCGAGTGCCAGATGAGGTCGTGGGGGACCCTGTCAAATGCCTTTTCAAGGTCGAGGAACGACACGTGCACAGCTTTGTTCTTCTCTCTGTGCCTCTCCAGCAGGAGCCTCGCCCTTAACCACCTGGCGTAAACCCTTAACCACCTGGCGTAAGCCCTTAACCACCTGGCGTAAGCCCTTAACCACCTGGCGAGAGCCCTTAACCACCTGGCGTGAGCCCTTAATCACCTGGCGTGAGCCCTTAACCACCTGGCGTGAGCCCTTAACCACCTGGCGTGAGCCCTTAACCACCTGGCGTGAGCCCTTAACCACCTGGCGTGAGCCCTTAACCACCTGGCGTGAGCCCTTAACCACCTGGCGTGAGCCCTTAACCACCTGGCGTGAGCCCTTAACCACCTGGCGTGAGCCCTTAATCACCTGGCGTGAGCCCTTAACCACCTGGCGTGAGCCCTTAACCACCTGGCGTGAGCCCTTAACCACCTGGCGTGAGCCCTTAACAAACTTGGCGTGAGCCCTTAACCACCTGGCGTGAGCCCTTAACCACCTGGCGTGAGCCCTTAACAAACTTGGCGTGAGCCCTTAACAAACTTGGCGTGAGCCCCTAACAGCAACCTGCCTCAGAGTCGTGAATTGCGCTACGCCACTTGTATCGCAGGCCGTCAATCAGCAACATGACATCAGGCTACGTCGTTGACCCCTACTTGCGGTGCGTATGGCAGCTTTGTGTTTCACAAGCCGATGGTGCGGTGCTTAATTGCCCATTCATTGCTTATGATGAGCTGCCAGCTTTAACGTAGACACCACATAGGAGGGGGGGGGAATTAATGTTGATCGGCCTTATGGGCCCATTGGCTTTGGACATTTACAAAGCTCTGTTTTCATTACTGCAACTCACTTTGATAAATCCCACCGCGCTCAGATTTTTTGATCCACCTATTTGCTTTGGCTACTTTAGTGTAATAAATTAATCAGCCTACACACCGAGGTTCAATAGTTCAGGGGGCTTTTGTTTCCCTACGGCAACCAATCAGCTGGCAGCAGTGGGTTGCCATGCGCTAAGAACGAAAGAGCAAACGCATTCTCGCAATTGCACTTTGCACAATTAACATTGGAGACCGCTCGCAGACAATAAAAGCTGGACTGCTACGAAGACCGCAGACCAGGATGAACAAGTTTCTCAAGAGATAGTCGCCAACCCTCTCAGCAGGTGTAGTGCCATAAGAGGGGAGGGGCTACTGGGGGCTCTGGCGCCAGGCGCTAGGATCCCAGGCACCCCAGACAGTTAAGCCCCTTGGCGCCACCAACGGGGGGGGGGGGGGGGGGGCTGTGTGTGCTCTGTGGGATACCTGGGGGCGCACACAACCCCACCCCTCGTTGGGGACGAGGCATAAAAGGGGAGCTCCCTGGCCGATCAGGGCCAGTTGTAGCTCAAGACCCAAGACCCGCCAGCCAGCCAGCTTAGGACCCTGGACACCCTCATCCCGCTTGTCCTTGTAAGGGCCGGGACGCTGTGAGGGCCAGTGGTGGGACTCTGGGACTCCCGGCTCTACGTCCGTGTAAGTGCGAGTTCCGAGGAAGCCAGAGTCCAGACCCGCACCTTGGCTGGGTCGGGTCAGATAGCCTCCCCTAGGGTAATTGTAGCCGGAGGACCCCAGAGCGTAGCCAGAGTAGTGTACCTAGGTTGTGTACCTAGGCTGTGTCGCTAGGCTGTGTATCTAGGCTGTGTACCTAGGCTGTGTACCTAGGTTGTGTACCTAGGCTGTAACAGAGTATCAGGACTGTTGGAGTGTTGAATTGTAATAAAGAAGTTACCTCTACAAGTGTCTCCAGAACCATTACACAGGCACGCAATATTGAATACATGCACATACACATGGATCTCCCCATTTAGTCCTATGAATAGAAACAAGTACTCTAAGTAAGCACCTATTCAGACCTATAAGGCGCAAGAAGCGGTGATGTGGCCAGGACCTCACGTAACCAGCCACCTTTGCCTCTCCGGCAATGATGTTGACATGCTGCACCAGCTTAACTTATTTAAGGCTGAGTCAACCTATGGGGGGGTATTCAGAAGTTTTGTTCTCTCGATCTTCAGAGGCCATTAGTGCGAGTGTAAAAGTGGTGTTATGCATGACCATGAATGAGAAGTTGACCATCGGATGTGTGACGCCGTGAGTGAACCCCACACGCACACAGATGACGACGCAGACACAGATGACAAAACGGACACAGATGACGACACGGACACAGAACCTCTGCGCTGAATGCGCTGAAGTCGATTCTGCCGATTCCAGTCGTTGCGAAGTCCAGCAGGCTCTGCTTGACACTGGGTTCCAGCAGCTTCATGTCCAACAGGTTCACATTGATGGGGTCAAATTTGCTTGCGATGTCATCCGTATACTGGTGGTTTTCAGGTGGCGGTGTGGAAAGGAGACAGAACACCGGAATTAGGCGGTTTATTTTGACCCGCACAACATTTCAAAAGAAGCCTGCTGTATAATAGTAATACAACGGTGAGTGTGCAATCGTGTTTCCGATCACGAGGAAAAAAGATAACACGGCGTATTCTCACGTAAACAATTCAACCGCACATAAATAATATCAACTGATTCGTACGAGGATTCCAAATCACAGTGTTGGCGCATTTCCGTGAACATGCACTTACCCGAGTGATGTTTAGGAGGCTGTCCAAGTTGAATAGATTTGAGAGTTGAAAAGCAGAATGGATCCCTGTGTTACTTTTGCAATCACTGTAAAAACACACGGGCGGGGGGGGGGGGGGCGGGGGCGGTGATTCCAGACACTCGCATTCGTATTGAGTCAGCCTCAGAGAAGGCGGGTTCAAGATACAACAACTCTCGTCTCTCCGTACCTCCAAAACACTTCACAAGGTGTATGTGCACTTTCCCGCAGTCCCCTCGTGGCTAGCAGACCTCGACATTGATATTCAGCTCCCAGACGTATTTTCATCAGCAAGACTATTATACCATTCTAGATTTGAAGCGTTCGTGACTGTGTAGTGGGTTCGAATTAGGTGCACACACACGCAGCTTGGAGGCAACACTATTTATTAAACGGTAAGTAACATAACGCTGTACATGAGGTGGTGACCACCTTCCTCAACTCACTAACACTCTGGAACGCGACACAGACTGGACCAGGCAGGCAACGGCCTGCCTGGCCCAGGACGACGACCCATGATGTCTTCACTTCGGAGTACAGTACAACAGCCTCGCTCCGCGTTCACACCACGCTTATATCTGCTTTGGCGTGGCCGGCTCCGCCCAGGCGTGGCTGGCTCTGCCCAGGCCACGCCTCCCTTCCCAGGCCACGTCTCCCTTCCCCACCTCTGGGAAGGTCCGGATCCCTCCACCACGTGACCCCCCAGGCACCCCCTTAGGGCCCCCAGCCCTCGTACGGGCCGACACAGTAGTGACCGTTCTATGTCACTACAACTGCAAGGATTCATATTCTTAGGTTTTTTCGGTAAAGTCACGTAGGTAAAAATTTTTAATTAATAAAATAAAAATCACGACGTTTCGAAGGCAATACAAGCTTGCGTCTTCAGGTGGAACCGTCACAGCACGATAACTTTTATTAATTAAAATGTTTTACCTACGTAACTTTACCGAAAAAAACCTAAGAATACTACTATACCAATTTGAAATAATAAATTATGTAAATGCAACTGTTTCATCTACTCGCATGACATACACCAGGATAAAAAAAACCACACAACTTGGAGAGGATTTCATCCAGCAGTAGATGATGATGATGTTGATAGCTAGGAATGTAATAAAAGGTGTGTTCACCGAGTACAATAAAACACTTAGTTTTGGCCTTATATTTGCTTTAGTCTTCTTGAGGCTGATAATTGTTTTTTTCCTTGTTTGGACTCCCTGGAACGAGCTGCCCAGGCGAGAGGGGGGCGAGGATTGGGCCTTTCGGTCAATAACTTCATTGCCGACTAAATAATGGCTCGGCAATGTGACATGCAACTGTGTACCGCAATGGACCAATTCGCACGGAACCATTCCAACTGCAGTGGTTCTGCATGTCTGTGAGTCTGAGAGTGTGAGAGTGAGTGTATGTGTGTGTGTGAGAGTGAGTGTATGTGTGTGTGTGAGTCTGAGAGTGTGTGTGTGTGTGAGTCAGAGAGAGTGAGTGGTGAGTGTGAGAGTGTGAGAGTAAACATAATCTCATTGAATATCGCCCGTACTGAGAGTGCAAATGTGAAGAAGCTGGAGCGAAAGCTTAAAGAGATTTATTTATTTAAATAAAAAAAGTTGTCAAAAATTGTAAATATTTAAAACATTTGTTACCAAAAAGTACACATTTGTTAGTCCCTGGGTAGTAAGTGTTATTTTCTATACGCTGACATCTCAAAAGTTACAAATGGGAGACAATTCCCCTCAAACGTAGTTTTTGAGACACACAGTGATCAAAATTTTAATCGTAAAATTATATTTTTTTATACCAAAAACTACACATGTGTTAGTCCCTGGGTAGTAAGTCTTATTTTCTATACGCTGACATCTCAAAAGTTACAAATGGGAGAAAATTCCCCTCAAACGTAGTTTTTGAGACACAGTGATCAAAATTTTAATCGAAAAATATATATTTTTTTACCAAAAACTACACATGTGTTAGTCCCTGGGTAGTAAGTGTTATTTTCTATACGCTGACATCTCAAAAGTTACAAATTGGAGAAAATTCCCCTCAAACTTAGTTTTTGAGATACAGACAGTGACCAAATTTTTAATCGTAAAAATATTTTTTTTTTACCAAAAACTACACATGTGTTAGTCTCTGGGTAGTAAGTGTTATTTTCTATACGCTGACATCTCAAAAGTTACAAATGGGATAAAATTCCCCTCAAACTTAATTTTTTTTGACACGGACAGTGATATTTACAAATGGACCTATTTTGCTAGGAGAAAACGTGTGCATTTGTGTAATTCTTTCCTTTATATAAAGTTCTGGTCACAAAAGCAACATGTATGGGGAATAATAGCCATCTTATATACTTAGGAGGCTTAAGCAATATAAAAATAACACTTTTTACCCAGGGAAAAATCGTGGTGCATAGTGTATATTTACTATCATCAAACATAACTTAATCCCTATATAAGAGTGATACAAAATAGTAAACATAAATATTTAAATGTTTTAACTGAGCTGTGAAGTTGCGTGACTAACCTCGTAGCTTTTCGACGGGAATAAGAATCTCCGCGATTGTTTGAAGATATCGGGGAGGGTGGGGGGAAGGTAAACACGCCCACTCGTGACATCCCCCCCCCCACCGAACACGGAGCAACGCCGCGAGTGTGTGCGAGTCTGAAAGTGTGAGAGCGAGTGTATGTGTGAGTCTGAGTGTTAGAGTGAGTCTGTGTGTGTGAGTCTGAGTGTTAGAGTGAGTCTGTGTGTGTGAGTCTGAGTGTGAGAGTGAGTTTGTGTGTGAGTGTGAGTGTATGTGTGTGTGTGAGAGTGTGGGGTAAATAGTTGATGTCAAAATGTTTCCGAAAATTGCGGTCTCCCCCCCCCCCCCCCCTCAAAAAATATCTTTACCCCTCGTAGGTATATATACTAACAACACCTTACATATGTAGGGCTGTTACAGAGGGTCTGTTTGTGTAGGGCTGTTTGCATAAGGGCTAACGGAAAACAAACACAGTGGGCGGGGACTCCGTGAGCACACGGGGTGGTGCCCGCAACGACGTCCGTACTGGACGGCGTGAGGGGGGTTTCGATCCTCTAGGGGGGTATAAAAAGGGTTGAGCCAGAGAGCTCGGGGCTCAGTCTTAGAGTAGTTAAGGGAAGAGAGAAGACCGGCCAGATAGGCCCTGGACTCCCCCTGGGACACCGCCCTTGTAAGGGCAGTGCAGGCTGGAGCCAGTGGCGTGGTCCCGGAACCAGAGTCAGACCTCTGGGATTCCGGGTACCGTAGCCCGACTAACCAGTGTCGGGCCAGACAGCCTCCCCTAGCCCGTTAGCGGAGGACTCGGCTAGGAAGGCTAGCTAGGGGTGAATTCCCAGTTGTACGGGTGAGGGAGCCGATACATCCCTCCAGTACTGTAAAGACATTGTGTAAATAAATACGTGTGCCTTACCCCGTTGTCCACGCGTCTTCAAGAACACTTCACATACAACAGAGGAAGTGGTATCTATTGACTCTGTAGTAGTATCTACTGACTGTACCGTAGTATCTACTGAGCCATATGTAGCTACTGACTGTGTAGTAGTATTTAGTGACTGTAATAACTACTGACCATAGTAGTATTTACTGGGCCTACAGTAGTATCTACCGACTATATACTCGTAACGACTAACTGTATAGTATCTGCTAACTCTATAGTGTATCCACTGACTATAGTAGTAACTACAAAATCTATAGCAGTATCTACTCACTCTATAATAGTATCTACTGACTCTAGTAGCTACTCACCGTAGCAGTATGTACTGACTGTATAGTAGTATATACTGACTGTAGCAGTATTGACTGACTGTAGTGGTATATACTGACTGTTTAAGTATTTACTATAGCGGTATCTACCAACTCGATAGCAGTATCTACTATCACTACAGCAGTGTATACCGACTGAGGTCGTACCTGCTATCACTACAGCAGTGCATACTGCTGTGTTGGTACCTGCTATGATTACAGCAGTGCATACTGCTGTGTTGGTACCTGCTATGATTACAGCAGTGCATACTGCTGTGGTGGTATCTGCTATGATGAGAGGAGTACATATTGTGGTGGTGGTACCTGGTATGATAACAGAAGTGCATATTGACTGTACTCATCATTCACCCTCACCATTCACCACTCACAACTCACCCTTACCACTCATCCTCACCACTCACCACTCCCACTCACTATTCACCATTCACCCTCACAACTCACCACTCACCAACCTCTCTCACCAATCTCCATCACCACCCTCCCTCACCACTCACCCTCACCACTAACCCTCACCACTAACCCTCACCACTCTCCCTCACCACTCACCCTTACCACTAACCCTCACCACTCTCCCTCACCACTCACCACTCACTCTCACCATTCACCCTCACTATTCAGCCTCACCACTCACCCTCACCACTCACCGTCACAACCACCACTCACCCTCACCACACAACCTCACCCTCACTACTCACCATTCATCCTCACCAATCACCACTGACCAATCACCACTCACCACTCTCCACTAACCCTCACCACTCAACCTCACCACTCACCCTCAAAACTAACCACTCTCTCACCACTCACCCTCACCACTCAGCACTCACCCTCACCACTCACCCCTCACCACTCACCCATCACCACTCACAACCGCCACTCACCCTCACCATTCACCCTCACCACTCACCCTCACAACAACCACTCACCCTCCCCGCTCACCACTCACCCTGACCACTCACCACTCATCCTCACCAATCACACCCTCACCAATCACCACTCACCCGCACTGCTCACCCTCACCACTCACCACTCACGCTCACCCTCACCACTCACCCCTCACTAATCACCACTCATAACCGCCACTCACCCTCACCACTCAACACTCACCCTCACCACTCACCCTCACCACTCACCACTCATCCTCACTACTCACCCTCACCACTCACCCTCACCACTCACCCTCACCACTCACCCTCACTACTCACCACTCATCCTCACCACTCACCCTCAACAATCACCACTCACCCTCACCACTCACGCTCACCACTCACCCTCACCACTCACTCTCACCACTCACCCTCACAACAACCACTCACCCTCACCACTCACCCTCACTACTCACCTCACCACTCACCACTCATCCTCACCAATCACACCCTCACCAATTACCACTCACCATCACTACTCACCACTCACCCTCAACACTCACCCTCACCGCTCACCACTCACCCTCACCCCTCACTAATCACCACTCACAACCGCCACTCACCCTCCCCACTCACCCTCACTACTCACCGCTCATCCTCACCAATCACACCCTCACCAATCACCACTCACCCTCACCACTTGCCACTCACCCTCACCACTCACCCTCACCATTCACCCTCACCACTCTCCCTCACCACTCACCAGTCATGCTCACCACTCACCATCACTACTCACCACTCACCCTCAACACTCACCCTCACCGCTCACCACTCACCCTCACTACTCACCCTCACCACTCACCCTCACTACTCACCCTCACCACTCATCCTCACCAATCACACCCTCACCAATCACCACTCACCCTCACCACTTGCCACTCACCCTCACCACTCACCACTCACCCTCACCATTCACCCTCACCACTCTCCCTCACCACTCTCCCTCACCACTCACCAGTCATGCTCACCACTCACCATCACTACTCACCACTCACCCTCAACACTCACCCTCACCGCTCACCACCTTTTAAAGCCAACGCGCTCACACTAAGCGACTCCGTCAAAACAAGAATCATATGACGGGGTACAACAGCGGGTGTGGTACAGCAACAGACTTGCCTGTATACGCCCTCAATGGTAATGTTCAGGTCTGGATTGTTGAAGAGAACTCCTGGCAAGAGATGCTTCGGCTTGAACAGATTTGGCGTATCGAAGAACTAAGAAAGGAAGGAAGACATTTTGTTTTTTCAACTGTCAAAAGTGGGGAACACGACAAGTCACGTGAGGGGGAGGAGGGTAGGGGGGTGGAGGAAGTCCGGTTTGTAGACGGTTCAAATGCTCTGCTCCCAAAGATACCGGATTAAACAGAGACTAATGGATCGAGTGTGTTGGCTTTAGAGCAGATTTCAGGACATTTTAAAAGGATAGGGACAGCTGTACCAGACAGTGATGCCGACGTGAGTTTTTTTTACCATTCTTTTGAACAGAGTTTTGTTACGGTCACAAGTGTCAACCTAAACAAACTTTTAAAAAAAACCTCAACAGCAGTACGGTACGAGTGAGAAGACAGCATTCACACGCCACTTTAAAACCGGAGTGGGTCAGGAAGTGCCTCGTCTTTAAACTCGGGCTACAAGATTACACCGCAAAGGCATCATCCCAAGCACTCTGTGTGTGGCGATTTAATTTAGTCAATTGTAGGTATCGGTACGTCGTGATGGGATATCATTCTAGATTTGAAGCTTTCGTGACTGCAAGGATTCATACTCTTTAGTTCTTTAGGTAAAGTCACGTAGGTAAATAATGAAATTAAAATTAATAAAAATAAAAATCACGACGTTTCGGAGGCAACACAAGTCTCCGTCATCAGGTGGGACCGTCACAGCCAGATTTGCTGCATCATTTTTTAGCTACGTGACTTTACCGAAAGAACTAAGTAATGAGATATCACTCGAACGGAGCCAAGGGCTTTGTACGCTGCCAAACTTATGCACTCCCAGAGTTCCGCACGGCTGATGGGATGCACAAAAGGAGTTGTTTATAGATTTGAAGCTTTCGTGACTGCAAGGATTCATATTCTTGGGTTTTTTCGGTAAAGTCACCAGGTAGGTAAAAAATTAAAATTAATTAAAGTAAAATAGCAACACAAGCTTCCGTCTTCAGGTGGAACCGTCACAACACGATAGCTGTATCAAGGAAGAGAAATTCCAAGAAAACAGTCCTTGTATATATACAGGTTGAGGGTGGGAGGAGCCAAGGTTGGCCCCCTTTTTACTATTATGGTAAGGTTGGTGCGGCTGAAACTACGGCTAGTCTACATAACAATTTTATTTTATTTTACTTTTATTCATTTAAAATTTTTACCTACGTGACTTTACCAAAAAAACCCAAAAATATGGAAAAGGAGTTGTATTTAGATGCCGTGAGCTGGGCAAACCAAGATTATTTGAGCCTACCACAATGCACTCTTACTGTTTTGCGTCCAGCAAATCCTTCAACACGTTTACAAAGCGCCCAATGCCGGCTCGAGTGAAGCGCGGAGTGCGATGCATTGCCATCACGGACACCCCCCGTACGTCGTGTGGTTGTAGCACCAGCCCTAGAGGGGGCTGGGTAAGCGCTGAGTGCCACCACACTCTGCGTGCAGTGCTGACCCCTATAGGGTAGGGGTCTGTAATCTAAGCACCAAATGGTTTGCCTGCTGAAACTCGTGGGGAGTCAACGGTGGGGGCTCCTACGGAGAGAGTACACCGTGTCGTCAGGATGTGTTGAATGTTGCCACCACTGGTGCAGAACCTTCCAGGAAGACGACTACCTTCCCACACTATGGGCCCAATTGTCGTAGTTTTAGTTTCCACACTTTTGTGCAATTCTGGCATTGTCCGACATTCCACACGAGTTTTTTTTTGCCAAATTCACGAGACGGTTTGACACCCGATTCGCAAATCAGTCGCTGGGATGGCGGCGACAGGAATCAGCGTCGAACGTGGCCCACGGCTGCAGGCCTGCTCTACTGCCACACCGAACTAATCAGCCTCCATCTCACGCAAAAAGGTTCCGCACAGAGCCTCTAACAGACTGTTGGAGCAGGTTCTGGTTGCGAGCACTTGTTAATGCTGGAATGGCACACGATAGAGTGACGCGGTATATTCAAACACGCCGCACCAGGTACTCATTTAACGCCGAGTCAATCTAGCGGAAGGCCCATAACCAGTTTAGATATCCATCGCCGACGTGAGCTGTGAGCGGCAATCGAACTCGGGTCGCCAGGTTCGTAGCGCAGCGCGCGAACCAGCGCTCCGCTGTCGCGCGCACACGCAGCACTCACGAGTGAGACTTTTCATTTCAATGCATGCAATTCATTTGCACGTCTTCGTCGAACGTGGGGCAATGGCTCCCGGTGGACTTGATCAGCGAAACCCCACGACAAGGACGACCCCACGGAATCTCTCGCCCACAGAGCAGAGCGCGCGTGCGCCCACCTTGAAGAGGTTCTTGTCGGCCAAGGGCTGGCAGAAAAGCTTTTCCACGTTCCCGCCCAGGACGAACGTGAGCGTCACCACCAGCATCAGCAGCCACGAGAAGGTCAAGCTGAAGCCGACGCCACTGCTTACAGCACAAACACACACGTGCAGTGCGGAATAAGTTCAACATACATACATATATTCGACAACACACAGGGTTGTGCATTTACACATCCCCCCCCCCCCCCGACAGGATTGGTGCTCCTACACTTCAGTTTCCCATACTGCACAATACACTCCATGAGTGTTCTTAAAGGCTTTTAATTGTCCTGTTTTGATGTGTCTCAGCCCAGCTGCAAATGAATACAACAACAAAATGAAAACGGGTTTTCACTTAAATTCTTCTCGCCAAGGCCCCGAGCAGTAAAAGGCATGACGTCCTTTATCAACGGCACGCAAACAAAATTCTTTGAAGTGCTTCTTTCAAATGCTGAATTAGAGTCACATTTAAGTGAACATTACTTCCGTGGCATAGCCTTCCAAAAAGAACGTCACGCCATCACAGCACCAGCAAGGCACCGGCAAGGCACGTAATACTGCAGTTCCTTAAGTCTGAACCATTCATGGATAACAATTTGCTTTTCCAATATAGCACATGCACATCTCGGAGTGCGTTACAAGTGATAATCGACTCGCGTCTTATCAACATTTTTGAAAGGGGACCCCCCCCGACCCCCCCTCACCAGTGACAGTTGTTCGTGTGCTACACAAGGTGGCTTATCACCCGGCCTGCAAGCCAAGGGCATCAATCTGCCAGTAGGGGGCGATGATTGCTACGCATTCCACCCCGGTCATTGGTTGACCATTTTTTTTACTTGGCAAATTTGGGCTCTGAGCACACAATGGCCGACTCAAATCAGAAATGCATTTCCCGAGTAAAGCCCATTCGGCTGAGCTCAGAGAAGCTTTAACGTCCACCGTGAAAGCACACGGCCACCCTAAGCTTACCCCTCCTAAACCAGAGGTCGCAAATGGGTTTTGATTCCTTACCCGTACCCGGCCGCACCAGGGTCGCAAACGGATACCCGTACCCGGCCGTACCCTACCCGGCCGGGTACGGGTAGGGTACGGGTATCGGGTACCCGATTGCGACCTCTGTCCTAAACCCACCCCTCCAACAATAACCAGGGGGGACCCATCCGATTCGAACCGCGGACCTCCCCAACACCAAGCGGCGAACGCCGCTCCCTCCTGCCGGGGGGGGGGGGGGGGGGGGCCGCGTCGCCGCTGGCCGCTCACGCCATTAGGAAGTTTCCGCCGGCGTGCTCGCCGTAGCCGCACGTGCCGCACAGCAGGCCCAGCAGGTTGAGCAGCACCACGAGGCCCGCGAGCGAGCAGAGGACGACGCACACGAGCCACCTGCGAGGCAGCAGCACGTGACGCTCGTGTCGGGGGTGAGTGCGCCCCCCCCCACCCCACCAATACTCATGTGGCTGGGCCCCCAACCCCCACCCCCCCCCCCCTGCCAATACAGAGACGTGTCCTCGGTGCGGACTTTTTAAATCCTTTATATTAAGTTCGCTTGCTTGCTTGGTTAGGACCGTGCAAATCTTTCGGTCGTTTTATAACTCACTTCCCGTGATCCAATCGAGCTGACATTTTCCACACAGACTCGTTGTGCGTGACAATTAAAGTTCGTGAAAAAATATTTCCAAAATTTGACACTTTTATGACAAAAATATTATATTTAATTACCAATTGCTTAATGGTGGCAGGCAATCATTTGACCCATAGGTGGCAGCCATCTCAAGCCAGAGGACGAGAGGACTCTAGCCGCCACGCATATAAAGGATTTAGAGTGAAAAACTTTGTTTTTACGGGTTATACTTGTTTTTTACGCGAGGGTTACGCTCCAAAAATACTCACGGATAATTCTGCCTCCGATGTCCAACTGTAGAATGGCAGAATGGTAGTGAAGCTAGTCTTCAATTAAAAAAAACCATGATCATAAACACTGTTTGCTCTGTGCCCTTAAGCAGGCGGGAATTCCCCCACCACCCCCTTCCAGCATCCTATACATCAGTCGGTCAGCCGGTGTGTTTTGGGCGAGGCCCACTGAGCTCTCTCTCAACAAGGACCTGGCTAAACAACAAGCATGGTACATGGGGAGAGAGGGTTTATGGTTGGCTACGTATGGTGCGAAAGAAGTTCAACATACATACACACATTACTAATAATATAGTAAATTACCAGACCTATGTACAAAGGAAATATAGTAAGAAATCCAAAATTACCACGTTATGCACGACACTAATGAAATGAAACCACATGTGGCATTCAAAATGGCATTTATAACGGCAAGAATTAAAATTGCATTTCCTACGCTGAAGGAAGTCTTTCTAAAAATGACATCCTAAAAGTTCCAGTCACAAATGGCTTCACGAATGGCACCGGCAAGCGTGGCAGTCGCAGTCATCAAGCAGCGCCTTCAATGTCGACACAGAAGGTCGGGTGGGAATGTCGAGGCGAGTGACCAAATTCATTGCAGAATTGATGTGCGCCTCCGTTGAACTCGCCGCTCCTTCTCAAGGAGGATGTGTCCATGCGAGCGCTCTCCAAGGCGAGCCCTTGACTGTTTCTACACGCGACAACAACGTTCTCATCTCTCAGTTCTTATCGACACGGCTTCCCCATTTGTGCACCAACACGAAATTACTATTGCCACGTTGCTTACTATTGCAATATTCATGGTTTGATTTGTGCCACGAATCAAATTCACAAATGAATAAAGAATTCGCCCAGATGCTCGCGCACTCTCTGTCTTTGTGCTCATTAGTGCTACGTATACAAGCATGCTCAGCATTTCCACTCCTGCCAAGCGGTGAGGGCTTTACGCCGTGCACTAGAGAGAGCCGTGCCACGGCCAGCAGACCCGCGGGATGGCCAAGAAGTCCCGTCGCACCCGACGGCGCTTCACTGCGGCACTTGCCTGTAGAAGTCGTACTGGGCGACCGTGGGCAGGTGCTCGTGCACTAGCGCCTGGCCCATGTCCAGGTACTTGGTGCCGTTGTGCACCACGAGCTGAAGGGGCAGCTGCCTCGCCGTCGTCTTGATGCTGGTGCCCACGTGGTCCAGTAGATCCTTCACGCCTGCTCGCACGCACGCACGCACGCACGTACGCTCGCAAGCACGCACGCACGTACGTACGCTCGCACGCACGCACGCACGCACGTACGCTCGCACGCACGCACGCACGCTCGCAAGCACGTACGCGCCGGCAATGAGTGCCGGCAGTGCGGCCCCAACAGTTTGCCAGAAGTTGTGGGGCCATGTCCCAGACACCATGATGAATGACCAATCACCTTAGAAGCAGAACTCCATTCTCGTGTCTCCACGTATACATTCATAAATGTTTTAGCCAATCTCCTCGTGGATTTCCAGAACGATATGCCGATGGACTAAAACACTTATTTTGAAATACAGGATTATGCAGCACAATATTGGATAATGACTTTGAAGATTAACGCAATACTCTCATTTTTTATCTCAACGTCCATGTATTAATGTCGTGATTTATACAATTTACATACTAAGAATACAGAGGTAAGAAAGATGGTACCCAAATCACTGTGACGCTGCTAAATCTATCCAATACATTTTAATAATTAGCAATTAACTCACAAGCACGTAGAATAAAATGTGTTGACCGTTGTCCTTTTCTGTGTGTGGAGGTACATGTCAAAAGCACAATACGGTGACCGAACTTCATCTATCAGCATTGATCCACTCTGTCTACAGGAAAGTAGCCCATACTGACGCCTACCTAAAACCGGATTCCCACCACCATCCATCGCAGGAGAATTCCCTCATCAAAAATGTGTCTCCGACCATGAATATCTGACCAGTGAACTCACACACCTACACCAGGCTCTCAAGGCGAATGGATATTCTGACTACACAATCCACAAAGTCATCACCCAAACTGTGAGGAAGGAGCCATCTGAAGATCCAATAAAAACCATCACCTTGCCTTACATAGCAGTGATAACCAAAAAGATTTCCAAAATCTTGAACAAACACAAGATCCAGGTCCCATTTAACACAATTCATAAAATTCGTGACCTGATCCCATCTGTGAAGGACAAGATTCCTGACATGCAATATCCCGGCGTCTACAAACTAAGCTGTGTCTGTGGCAGCAGTTACATTGGGGAAACCAAACGACATGTCTCGGACCGTGTTCGTGAACTCAAGGCAGATCTGAAACATGGCAGGACCAATACTTTTGCCGTGGCTGATCATTTTCACTTTAATGCGTCTGGCTCACACGACATTCATTTCTCTAAGACGATGGTACTTTGCAAGCCGATTGGCTATCAACAAAGATTTGTTCACGAAGCCATCCATATGGCTTGAGTCCAACTAAGTCGCAGACGTTATCTTAGGAGCAACACGTGTATTAACTATTTGCACAACATCCTCCAGGGCTATTAACACAACATACCCTCGGGTGGTGAGCACTTAACTAACCATGCTACGGCGGAACTAGACACGGTTCCACCAACCTCTTATCATCACAGGATGTTTCCATGCATGCTACGTTTACCGCACTTACGCAACTTCGCTGAAAAGACAATGTTTAACGATCCGCGCAAAAGCAATAGGAACAAATAAATGTTTGTATTACACACAGCAGTGTCAATTCCCTGCTCATCAATAATGTGCGAACAAGTTTGAGAAATTTTGATTTCACCGAGAAGATGGATTCTCGCTTAGCAATCATTGGAAGGATTTGATAATCCGTGGTGCTGACGTTAAAGAAAATAACGCCACTTTTTTCAAATTTTCTTGCTGTGGATTTCACACCTGATGATGATTGCTTGTGTTGCAGTCGAAACGTCCTGAGAATTGTATTGTTTTATATTTTTATTATTTTATTATTTCCCTTCTACGTGACTTCACCGAAAGAACCAAGAATATAAGTTTGAGAAAACCATCTGCGTGTTATTATACTTCATCACCGCTTTGTTATCTTACCTGCAGCAATGTTTCTCGTTTGCTGTGCGATGATTTCAGGCGTGCCATTAAAAGCTGCATAACCCTGCGCAGGGGAGAAAAATAACACCGAAAAATGTAACATTGATGTAGTAGTTTTACGATTTACTTTGTGTCACCAATACTCTTAACTTTTAAGTCTCAAACACACTAGCGAACAGAATTTTTGAAAATCTTCACGTAGAATTTTTTATTTTTTTTATTTCAGAAAGAGAACTGTTACTGCGATTAATTACGACTTTGTTAACGTCTAGCTTTTCAGTGTGTGGGTCCGGTCTCTTGTTTGAGAGCCGGTTGAATTTGGAAATCAAGTTGTCCTTACATTTGGTCGACATAGCGGCAGCTGAAGAGGCAGTCATTTTGTCTACATGTTCCCAATCTGATGTGGACATTGTTGCAGTCAAAGATAAGTGTGATTTGTAGAGTGTCTTGTCTAACTGATCAAGATCGGTGCGCGTAAGTCTGATTTTCTCTGAGATAAGAGCTAAGCTAGTTCTAGACAGAATTCGTTTAGCATTAGAAGAAGTTACAGCAGCAGAGGTTAGTGTAAATGCGATTGGTATTACCTTAGAGTCGCGGCATCTCTTCATAAAGTTGAGAGACTCGATTAGCTGAGCCTTCTTATCCCGGAGCTTGTTGAAGGATCTTAAAGTTTTGTGGAATCCCACCCCGTAGTGGCGGTTAAATTTCGATTTAAAGCTTTCGTGACTGCAGGGATTCATCTCCTTGGTTCTTTCGGTAAAGTCACGTAGAAATGTATAATGTTTAATGTATGAAAATTTGTGCATTACAAGATTTAAAAAAAACAAACAGTACATACCTTGTCAACCATCGCTGTAAAGTTGGTGTCTAGCAGTCTCTTCACCTGCTCCAATTCCCGGGACACGTCCTGCGGCTGCACAGGAAGGTAAACACCACCATCAGCTCTGCGCACTGTCAAACTAAACCAAACCCGGTCCCCTTTCAATGTTCAGTAAACCTGTTCTTCAGTGCTCATTGTACAAACATTGTTTCGAAGCTCAGGCATTAATTAGACATTTACAGCGGTTAAGCTTGGTCTTTTTGTATCTGGAAGAACACAAATTCATGTAATCTACAGTTAAGGCTGCCATGGAAAGACAACATCCAGCCTCTTTGCACAGAAGTTCCTCCCCTCATGAGGAGAGGGAATTGGTTACATCTCGTGCGTATATCTAACACTTTAAACCCAGGAGGTTGGCGTTTGATTCAGAGGCATGGGAAATCACAGACAAGCAGGAAGGCAGCCAGAACCAGCACCAAAAATTGCTCAAGCCTCTATGGCTCTATATGAGGATGTTTGACCATCTCCATTGAGTACTTATACAGGAAACCAGAGCCCTCGGAGACAATTCAAATGCACGGATGGAGGGGGGTAACACTCAATCCCCGTACAGATGGAATACAGATGCAAATGAAGCAACTTGCTGGCAAAACAAGGAGAAGGCGACCTCGCAGCCCGGCAGATTTGAGAGTTTCCCGAACGTGCTTGTCATCCACCAACCCTCGACCGCCTCAGCGATTGCTGTGGATTAGAGGCAGCGTGAGTAGCCACGCTGGCGCTCACCAGTTTGCCGTTCTTCCCCTGCACCGTTGATTACGGCGGTTGGCTACATACGATGCAACATAAGTTCCACGTACACATGTAAAGGTGTTACGGGAGGGCGAACAAACACACCAGGGGTGTGGTTATGCCCGCACGCGGAAGGATGCTTACATCCACGTCCGCATCGTTTAGCCCTGGGGGGCTGAAACGGCGCTGTGATCCCCCACGGCCCCACCCCTCGGGGAGGAGTTGCTATATAAGGCGGTGAGCCGGTGGGCTCGGGGTTCAGTGTTTAGCTTAAATCAGTGAAGAAGGAAGACCGGCTAGATAGGCCCTGGGACTCCCCTGGATCGCTGTCCTTCTAAGGACCGACCAGGGCAAGCCAGTGGCGTGGCCCCGAGAGCCCAGAGCCGATGCTCTTGTAAGAGCTGGTCTGGGGACTCAGGGTGCCGTGATCCCAGCTTAACCAGAGCTAGGTCAGCTAGCCTCCCCTAGCTCTCGAGTGGAGATAGAGATAGTGGGAGCTCCCTGTTAGACGGGTGAAGGGGCCGATACCCCTCCGAGTGTTGTATACCTTGGTCTGTGCTGAGTGAAACGGTTAATAAATAAGTGTGCCTCCGACTACGTCGTCCAAGTCTCTTTGAACCTACTACACACACACTCACACGTACCAAGCTGAAGTCGGCGTGGATATTCAGCAGGACGAGCTGCCCCGACATGGCGACGCACCGCTGTGCCCTCTGGCACACGGGGTCATTGAGGGTCGCGTTAAGGCCGCTGCGCACGGTCGTCAAGTTCCTCTGCAGCCTCTCGGAGCTGTCGCGCAGCACCGAGAGCGACGTGTTGATGTCCAGCAGCGCCAGGCGCGTCGCCAACATCACTGCCGGGACGGGGGGGGGGGGGGGGGGGGGGAGCGCGTCAGCAAGCAAGCGATCACCAAGAAAACAATTGGCAACACACTATGCGATCACCAAGAAAACTGTTGGTAACACACTATGCGATCACCAAGAAAACAGTTGGTAACACACTATGCGATCGCCAAGAAAACAGTTGGTAACACACTATGCGATCGCCAAGAAAACAGTTGGTAACACACTATGCGATCGCCAAGAAAACAGTTGGTAACACACTATGCGATCACCAAGAAAACAGTTGGCAACACACTATGCGATCGCCAAGAAAACAGTTGGTAACACACTATGCGATCGCCAAGAAAACAGTTGGTAACACACTATGCGATCGCCAAGAAAACAGTTGGCAACACACTATGCGATCGCCAAGAAAACAGTTGGTAACACACTATGCGATCGCCAAGAAAACACTTGGTAACACACTATGCGATCGCCAAGAAAACAGTTGGTAACACACTATGCGATCGCCAAGAAAACAGTTGGTAACACACTATGCGATCGCCAAGAAAACAGTTGGTAACACACTATGCGATCGCCAAGAAAACTGTTGGTAACACACTATGCGATCACCAAGAAAACAGTTGGTAACACACTATGCGATCACCAAGAAAACAGTTGGTAACACACTATGCGATCACCAAGAAAACAGTTGGTAACACACTATGCGATCACCAAGAAAACAGTTGGTAACACACTATGCGATCACCAAGAAAACAGTTGGTAACACACTATGCGATCGCCAAGAAAACAGTTGGTAACACACTATGCGATCGCCAAGAAAACAGTTGGTAACACACTATGCGATCGCCAAGAAAACAGTTGGTAACACACTATGCGATCACCAAGAAAACAGTTGGTAACACACTATGCGATCACCAAGAAAACAGTTGGTAACACACTATGCGATCGCCAAGAAAACACTTGGTAACACACTATGCGATCGCCAAGAAAACAGTTGGTAACACACTATGCGATCGCCAAGAAAACAGTTGGTAACACACTATGCGATCGCCAAGAAAACAGTTGGTAACACACTATGCGATCGCCAAGAAAACAGTTGGTAACACACTATGCGATCGCCAAGAAAACAGTTGGTAACACACTATGCGATCGCCAAGAAAACAGTTGGTAACACACTATGCGATCGCCAAGAAAACAGTTGGTAACACACTATGCGATCGCCAAGAAAACAGTTGGTAACACACTATGCGATCGCCAAGAAAACAGTTGGTAACAAACTATGCGATCGCCAAGAAAACAGTTGGTAACACACTATGCGATCGCCAAGAAAACAGTTGGTAACACACTATGCGATCGCCAAGAAAACAGTTGGTAACACACTATGCGATCGCCAAGAAAACAGTTGGTAACACACTATGCGATCACCAAGAAAACAGTTGGTAACACACTATGCGATCACCAAGAAAACAGTTGGTAACACACTATGCGATCACCAAGAAAACAGTTGGTAACACTATGCGATCACCAAGAAAACAGTTGGTAACACACTATGCGATCACCAAGAAAACAGTTGGTAACACACTATGCGATCGCCAAGAAAACAGTTGGTAACACACTATGCGATCGCCAAGAAAACAGTTGGTAACACACTATGCGATCGCCAAGAAAACAGTTGGTAACACACTATGCGATCACCAAGAAAACAGTTGGTAACACACTATGCGATCGCCAAGAAAACAGTTGGTAACACACTATGCGATCACCAAGAAAACAGTTGGTAACACACTATGCGATCACCAAGAAAACAGTTGGTAACACACTATGCGATCGCCAAGAAAACAGTTGGTAACACACTATGCGATCGCCAAGAAAACAGTTGGTAACACACTATGCGATCGCCAAGAAAACAGTTGGTAACACACTATGCGATCACCAAGAAAACAGTTGGTAACACACTATGCGATCACCAAGAAAACAGTTGGTAACACACTACGCCGTGAATGACTCAAATCCTGCAGCGCCCGCAAGGTCCCCCTGCTCAAGAAAGCACATATACATGCCCGTATGAAGTTTGCCAATGAACATCTGAATGATTCAGAGGACAACTGGGTGAAAGTGTTGTGGTCAGATGAGACCAAAATGGAGCTCTTTGGCATCAACTCAACTCGCCGTGTTTGGAGGAGGAGGAATGCTGCCTATGACCCCAAGAACACCATCCCCACCGTCAAACATGGAGGTGGAAACATTATGCTTTGGGGGTGTTTTTCTGCTAAGGGGACAGGACAACTTCACCGCATCAAAGGGACGATGGACCCAAAACACACGGCCAAGGCAACAAAGGAGTGGCTCAAGAAGAAGCACATTAAGGTCCTGGAGTGGCCTAGCCAGTCTCCAGACCTTAATCCCATAGAAAATCCGTGGAGGGAGCTGAAGGTTCGAGTTGCCAAACGTCAGCCTCGAAACCTCAATGACTTGGAGAAGATCTGCAAAGAGGAGTGGGACAAAATCCCTCCTGAGATGTGTGCAAACCTGGTGGCCAACTACAAGAAACGTCTGACCTCTGTGATTGCCAACAAGGGTTTTGCCACTAAGTACTAAGTCATGTTTTGCAGTGGGGTCAAATACTTATTTCCCTCATTAAAATGCAAATCAATTTATAACATTTTTGACGCGTTTTTCTGGATTTTGTTGTTATTCTGTCTCTCACTGTTCAAATAAACCTACCATTAAAATTATAGACTGATCATTTCTTTGTCAGTGGGCAAACGTACAGAATCAGCAGGGGATCAAATACTTTTTTCCCTCACTGTAGCTCAAGCAACACAGAGAAGGAAAGGAATGAAAAACAATGACTGGCACATTCAAATTTCTAAAACGCAAACATCATCAAGTGCAAACAATTTGTCGAGAAGGACACGCATCTATTATGTACAATAATTTGACAGTGGAATAACAATTTCTCATAGGCGGAGTTTGAATTCTATCGCGGGTGCATATAATTTATTTATTTTGAACCTCACTTGTAAACGACTGAAAATAAATTAATAAAGGTGCCCAGTTCGGGGGGGGGGGGGGCTAAGCCCCCCCATGCCCCCACCCCCCCAAACTCTGCCCAAGCTATTTCTCCCTGAACAGTTTCCATCGCATTTCATGGGAACGTGCAGCTGGGCTTGTAGGGCTGGTCCTGCACCACCAAAAGTGTCCCTGATGCCCCACCCCCACCAGCATTCCCTCTCCTTTGTTGTCCACCACTCGTATTTTGCACCTCACCCCCCAACGCAACAGATCTACCCCCCCCCCCCCCCACCGCCACTGGACCTGATTGCAACCTAAAATGTGAACGTTTCAATTTTATAAAACGGTTCCACTCCGTTGCCTTTGCTCCCGCGTAGCCGTGGCGTGCGCGCTCTACGTATGCACTGCGTCGAACTCGGTCCGCGCTGCACGCGGCCAACCGCGCTCGTCGCCGGTTGGCAAAGGTGCCGTGTGGACACTGACCGTCGGCCATCTGCAGGGCAGCCCGTAGCGCGGGATAAACCTTCGTGCCCAGCCGCCTCTGGATCCTCTGGCCCAGCAACGGTCCCACGTCTGTAAAATTGTCCGAACCGGCACGGATCGAATCGAGATGTAAGGCAACTGCGAACGCCGTGCCCCTGAACGCTGACTTAACTTGCGTGGCGAGCGGAGGCAAAGAAGCGATTAGTCACACTGTGATGCAGAACTGCAACGTTCATAGTGTAGAGGAGTAAAATGGGGACGTGACGTCAGGCGTGCCGTTCAGTGCGATGACGTCACGTCTCCCAGGGTACTTAAGGGAGACCCCGTGACGTGAGCGGGGTCACCGTGGGAACGGGTAGAGTGAGCAGGGTGAAGAGGGAACCAGGGGTAGAGAGAGGGATCGAATAGGGAGTCTGGGGAGAAGCCGGTGGTAGCCGGAGAGGTGCGTGTCTGTGTGTGTCTGTGTTGCTGTGTGTGTCTGTGTGTGTCTGGGTGTGTGTTTGTGTGTGTGTCTGTGTGTGTCTGTGTTGCTGTGTGTGTCTGTGTGTGTGTCTGGGTGTGTGTCTGTGTTGCTGTGTGTCTGGGTGTGTGTCTGTGTTGCTGTGTGTGTCTGTGTGTGTGTCTGTGTTGCTGTGTATGTCTGTGTGTGTGTCTGTGTGTGTGTGTGTGTCTGTGTGTGTGTCTGGGTGTGTGTCTGTGTTGCTGTGTGTGTCTGTGTGTGTGTCTGGGTGTGTGTCTGGGTTGCTGTGTGTGTCTGTGTGTGTGTCTGTGTGTGTGTGTGTCTGGGTGTGTCTGGGTGTGTGTATGTGTGTGTGTCTGTGTTGCTGTGTGTGTCTGTGTGTGTGTCTGGGTGTGTGTATGTGTGTGTGTGTCTGTGTGTGTCGGTGGAGTCTGCAGAGTCCACGATCTGACACGAGAGAGACCGGAGCTAGCCGGCAGGGACCCGGACTCAGAGTAGGAGCCCCCTAGCCGCTGGGAGTTGTGTACCCTGGTGTGTAATATTGCAACAGCTTTAATAAACCCTGGCGAAAGCCCTTAGCTTACCTCCGTCTCCAAGTACGTTCGCGGGAACTTCTCTACAATAGTATTAACACTGGATAAAGCATTTTAAAGACCAACATATTTTAGTTATCAGATGTAAGTTCACATTTAGGATGGATTTTTTTTGGGGGGGGATTGGGTTAATTAAAAAACCCATACGTGCAGCCCTTGCCACAGACCTTTCAAAACACCAACCCAATGTTCTTAAAATTGACGCTTTTCCTGTTCACCTCTGTATGTTTGCACTCCATCACACAGGGCCCAGCAGATGAGCACAGATTAGAAACGAACCGCCAGGGGCACAAAGCAGCCACACTCAAGGGCTGCCACCTGGCCACGCAAACATCTCTTATTTTATTTCATATTTACATGAGCTGCTAGCAGCTACAACACCCTTCAGAGTTGTGTCACCTGTAATGCCTCACCACCATTATCCCTATCGTGCTCTAAGCAGCTCCTAATTGAATCAGGCCCTTGTGAGGCCAACAAGTTACGGGGTTATCAATTCCACATCAGAGGTCGCAACCGGGTACCCGATACCCGTACCCTACCCGATACCCGGCTACCCGTACCCGGCCGGGTATGGGTACGAGTACCCGTTTGCGACCCTGGTGCGGCCGGGTACGGGTAGACCGTGAGTCACTGGTGAGTCACCGTTTGTCACTCATTTCCCAACGTCTTGTCTCTTCTCACAATTCAAGTTCCTAGAATCAACCCACCCGCGCCTGCAACATGGCTTCATCCCAGAGGTCGCAATCAGGTACCCGATACCCGTAGGGGTACGGCCGGGTACGGGTACCCGTTTGCGACCCTGGTGCGGCCGGGTACGGGTAAGGAATCAAAACCCGTTTGCGACCTCTGTTCCACATGCACTGGAGCAAGTGCTACAACGCAACCAAGTTAAAGTGTTTATTTTGTATTCATAATTGACTTTTGGGTTAGACCACGTAATAATCTGCCCAAATTTCTGTCGTACCACCTGACATAGCCAAACATATTAAAATGTCGCATGTACAAGCGCTCCCGACAATTAATTATCGCAACTAAATATAACAATTAGATACCCGATGTTTTACGTGAAAATGTGCCAAACGTCTTCAGGATAAGATCCAGGAAGTTAGATTAACCACGTCACCTGACCCGGCTTCTCCAATTCGTCACATTATCTTTAAAATTAAAATGAGAGCATCATGTTCATACTGAATGGAGTTGCACATTTAGTTTCTGCTCATTGCGACTTTTTTTCATATTTAACCATTAATTACATTTAAATCAGACTAACATGAAAGGCGAGGTTTCGGTACGAGGCTCTTATAGCGCACATATCGGGAACAGTCACGCGGACAAACGTGTAAAAATCACCTCACGTACATGTAACTTGTAGGCCTTGGCAAGAGAGTGTACGGTGAACAATTTATTTTGTTTCTCGGAAAATAAACGAATTGTGCATCTGGTATGGTGTCTACAAATACCCGTGGCCTCTGTGCTGGAGTAGAGAGGCATTGATTGGAAAACAAGAAGGCGAACGGCGCGATAGCTCGTGCCCACAATGAGTGCGGGCTGCTGCTCTTCCTCCACCCCACCTGTTTCTATTCACTCGTGGCATGCTGCTCACTAAAAGTTGTGATGACTATGAAATGCTGCCTTAATAGAAAGGACATTATTACCCGACACTGCAGATAATGCCAAGAGATACGGATACAATTACTTACTATGATTAAAGAAGTAAAACATTTTCAGATACCTATAACCCCAAAATGAACAAGCAACAAGTCTATATATTTACACTCACGGTCGAGATCGGAAACCGCCCTGTCCTTCGTGATGTTGTATTTTTCAACGATGTAGTCGATTTGCTAAAGGCAAAGAAAGAAACACACTCAAGTCAGTCACATGACCGCCTTGTACCAGAGGTCGCAACCGGGTACCCGATACCCGTACCCTACCCGATACCCGGCTACCCGTACCCGGCCAGGTACGGGTACCCATTTGCGACCCTGGTGCGGCCGGGTACGGGTACGGGTAAGGAATCAAAACCCGTTTGCGACCTCTGCCTTGTACCCTGTTCAAAACCACGCTCTGATATGCCAAGCCACAGCCACAAAACGAGTTACGCCGCAGACTATTTGTGAGTTGGAATCCTCCTTTCATTTACATTTCACAACAAGTGGAATTCTACAAATTATCTGCAATGCCCACCTGCAATTTGCACAGAGCCCCCTAACGAGAACCACTGCAGCGTGCACACCACTTTCATGGCTTTATTTTGGTGATTTCGAAAAGTGTATTGGTTTAGCCATGTTTGTTTGTTGTAGTACAGAGTTAGACTGATGGCCTTAATCTAAGTTGTCTTGTGGTTGTTGTTGTTTGACTTGCATCCCAATAAGATTATGACTGCAGGTAATGTGGTCTATGTAAACATGACTCCTTGTAAAAAAGGTGTCAGTTTTGTTGCCAGATAGAATGGTAAAAAAACAATTATCATTATTATATTATACTTTTCATATTAATGCAGTGGCATTGATAATTGCGTCGAGTTGTTCTTGTTGTTTATGTTTTGTGCGCCACTGCGAATCACTTGCTCACATTTAATCTACACCCACAGGTGCGTAAGGTGCGTGCTTTTCGGTGACATTTAACGGAGGAAATCGCGCCTACGTGTGGCTGGGGCAGCTGCCGCTTACACGGGGCGTATTGTTGAGCAGGGTCCGGACGTCCTTCAAGTTGCTCGACAGCAGGCTCTCCGACTGCCGGATGTTGTTGGTCACATTGTTGTTGGCCACGTAGGCACACACAATGCCCGCCCTGCACGGAGACGCAAAGGGGAAGCAGAAACACGTTTTACTTACCGCAGAGAACACACAAACACTGCTGGCTTAACTCTACGGGGAGGTATTCCACGTCACTTTGAGATCCTTCAACAAACTCCGGGATAAGAAGGCTCAGCTGACCGAGTATTATTTCCCTTCTACGTGGTGACTTTACCGAAAGAACCAAGAAGATGAATCCCTGCAGTCACGAAAGCTTCAAATCGAAATTTAACCGCCTCTACGGGGAGGGATTCCACATAACTTTGAGATCCTTCAACAAACTCCGGGATAAGAAGGCTCAGCTGACCGAGTATTATTTCCCTTCTACGTGGTGACTTTACCGAAAGAACCAAGAAGATGAATCCCTGCAGTCACGAAAGAAGCTTTACATCGAAATTTAACGAGACGACTCACTCGATGGCGAGCGTGACGAGGAGGAGCGAGGCGCCGTGGCAGCTGCGTTTGCAGTCGTCGTTCTTCCGTGGCCTCCGAAGCATCTCTCCGCGGCGGTTCCCGCAGCAGCGGCGGCGGCGGCACATGCAGCAGCCCGCCAGCGGGAGCAGCAGCAGGAAGGCGACGCCCAAAGCCACGCACACGATAAAGCCGAGCTCATAGCGGATGATCTGAGGGCAACGTGAGCCACATCACCGAGTCACCCACGCCGAGTTGAACCGCCAGGCTTGCAGGTTACGGCACTTAATGATGGTATAATCGTTTCGAGGTGCAACGCGCTTGCACGGCGTTCACCACAGAGATAGAACAACTCAGAGGTGCCAGGAACCACAGACAAGCGGGGATCCTCTGTACAGTGGAACCTCGGTACATGTCGTTAATTCGTTCCAGAAGGTAGGACTTATACCGGAAATGCCGTATAACAAACGAGTTTTTCCCATAAGAAATAACGGGGAAGGAAATAATCCGTTCCAGAGAATAAGAAATGATATTTTATATGGCATATTATACATTAATAGGGCTGTATAAAATTATTTAGACACTACTTATTACTAAAATGCATACATAAATTGAAATAAATGCATAAATAAATACAAATAAATTGAAATAAAAATAAAATTTAACATCACTTTATCTTGCTGAGAGGAGCCTACGGGGATGGTGGTGAGGAAGAGTCGTGAATGGGGTCTACGCGGTGACTCATCACGACCCATACAAGTTCTAGCAAGCGCGTCGTATCCCAAGCAAGACGTCGTATCCCAAGCAAGGCGTTGTATCCCAAGCAAGCACTGAGGTTGTGAAAGTGATGCACGACGACACAAACAAGAGGCTCGTCTTTGCAGAGCAGGCAAGAGCGCAAGTGAAAATTGCAAAGCGTGCAAACTAACCTGGCGATAGTCCTTGTGTACGACTCCAAAACCTTGCTTCATAGCTTTGGCGAGTAGCTCTGCGAGAGAGAAGTGCCGCGAAGAAATGTAAACCTCACAATCTCTTTGAACAAAAACAAAGTAATGAATTGTTCCCGGTAAACGTTTTCAAAGGTGTGCATCGCGTAATCTTTGCCTTGATATGCACGCGCACGTATCCTACGCGACCAAACTCCGCACGTAAAGTGCCGGTGTGAAATATTTCTGAGCGTGGAAACCTGAGCACAAATTTGTGAACATAAATTGTGCCGAAACTTGCTATGGAGCGGCGGTTTTGTGCGTGTGGCAAGGTCACCACATGTGGTTACACGAGACATCTCCCGGGGGTACGTGAGACAATTCAGAATCAGAATGTGTTTCTCGTGGAGGAATCCGACGAGCTATGAAGCTCTGTTTCACAGGTGCCCGGTAGGGGCACGGGGCCAGAACGTGACAACAACAAACACGGCAGGAGTGCAAATATACGAGAGGTGAACAAATCACTTGAAATATATACAAATATATAAATATATACAAATAACACTTTCTTTTTCTTACCAGGTAAAGCCCACTGAGCTTTTGGTTTATTTTTCAGAAGTGACCTGGGCACAATTAATAGCTCAACCAAGTGGCTTATCACGTGTACATTTATAGCAGCTAAATCATCTAAACGCATTTAAATTTCGATTTAAAGCTTTCGTGACTGCAGGGATTCATCTTCTTGGTTCTTTCGGTAAAGTCACGTAGAAGGGAAATAATAAAATGATAAAAATAAAACATAATAAAATAATTCTCACGACGTTTCGGCCACAACGCAAGCAGCCGTCCTCAGGTGAAAAACTATATCTTGTCGACAGACCTGTTCTTCACCTGAGGACGGCTGCTTGCGTTGTGGCCGAAACGTCGTGAGAATTATTGTATTATGTTTTATTTTTATCATTTTATTACTTCCCTTCTACGTGACTTTACCGAAAGAACCAAGAAGATGAATCCCTGCAGTCACGAAAGCTTTACATCGAAATTTAGCTTATAGAGAATTGTGATTTTCAAACAACGCGGTCATTTACAGACCCTTAGCAATTTGCTGCGGGACGATGGCCTCAACGTGCGGTGACAGCCGTGGGAGGCGTTTGACCATACTTCACTACGCCGGTCTGCGCAGGTTAGTGACATGGTAAAAAGGACAGAATCAGGTCAGATATAATTGGCCACCGATGTTGGCCGTGGTGGGGAATCTAACTCAGGTCATTGTGCGGCTGCACATTTACCCTTTTGAATCTACGGAAAGGATGACCTTATAGGATCTTGGCTAAACTCATGCAAGCCAGCTATAGCTACAAGGTTTGGTGGTACATGTTGTTTATGTCGTTTATTGTGAAATTTCGGTCACAGTTCCTATGATCACTGTTAGATTACTTATGGCTTTATTTTGGTGATTTCGAAAAGCTGTTTGGTTTGGCCATGTTTGTGTTGTTGTAGTATGGAGTTAGAATGATGGCCTTAATCTAGTTGTCTTGTGGTTGTTGTTGTTGTTGTTGTTTGACTTTCATGGCTTTATTTTGGTGATTTCGAAAAGTGTATTGGTTTAGCCATGTTTGTGTTGTTGTAGTACAGAGTTAGACTGATGGCCTTAATCTAAGTTGTCTTGTGGTTGTTGTTGTTGTTTGACTTTCATGGCTTTATTTTGGTGATTTCGAAAAGCTGTTTGGTTTGGCCATGTTTGTTTGTTGTAGTACGGAGTTAGAATGATGGCCTTAATCTAAGTTGTCTTGTGGTTGTTGTTGTTTGACTTGCATCCCACTGGGATTGTTGCACAGCGTTGGTGTACGGTGCTTTTTTTCTGGAAGACTTTGCAGTTTTTCCCCTGGATTTTTCTGTTTGCGCGTAGTCACTTTAAGATGTTTCCTTGTTCGTGTTTTTGTTTTCTGTTTGTTGCGGTTGCACCTGATTCAAGAGCCGAATGGCTCACAGGGCTACACCAAATCAATAAAACTGAAATATAAACCGCATGTATATATACCAACACTCCAATATAGTCACACGATCTCACAAAGCACTCACCGTGAGGAAATGAATTCGGCTGAACGAGGTCCAGAAACTTGTGCATCATCAAGAAGAGCGTTCCGATGGCGCCGGCGTCGTAACTGGTGTCGGTCACGTAGGTGGCCGTAGGAACTTGCCCAAAGTCCAGCGTGGTGGACGGCACGCTCGACACGAGGACGAGCGCCAGCAGTACAAACACCGCCGGGAATGCCGTCACACCACCGGCCATCGTCGCTGCGGGAAGGCTGCAAAAGCTAACGCACAAACAAGGGAGTGGGGCGCCACCGTGGTTTTGCGCACAAAAGTCTCCTCGCGAGCAGCGCCAGCCAACACGGTCCCAATAACGCTCACGTCCAGATCGTCGTTATCGTCGCACGCTCGGGTGAATGGTGCGCGTCGGTTCACGTGGACGTGGCGCCTCCCGTAAGTCCTGTGGGGCGGCGGGAGTGTTTGTATCCGATGAGCTCCTTACGCTGAATCGGGCATCTGGGAAGACAATAGCAAAAATTAAGAGGGCATTTTAAACGCAATAAGACTTTCACAGGAACGCACGTACGCAAACAGCCGGCTGCTATGTACGGCAATATAGCAGTTCACCGAATAAATAATCTGCAGCTGCACTTGGAAGAAATCACACCGGGTTATTTGAAAGGTTCACACAGCCAATTGCAAGTCACTGTTTGGTTGCACGAATTTTTTCCCATCAAATCGGCCACACGGTAGTTTAAAGGTTCCCCGATGTTTTAAAATCGTAATACGTTTCGCTCGTTTGCATTGCCATTGGCTCGCTGGAGGCGCACTTGAAACAAATATTTTTGTATCACAGCGAAAATGTTATTGGCCACTCAAAATAACGCCCTGTATATTCAGTAAAAATACAAGTAAATCACGATTCATGGTTAATTACATTGCAACAAAAGACTACAAATCTATATTTGCCGGAGACAATAATAATTATTTTCAAAGGTAAAAATGCCTGAGCGATCAAACGGCGCAAACTAAATTTAAATAGAATATTGTTCACAATCCATCGGATGCTGATACCCCGTTGTTGTATACTTGAAGTCTATTTCAACACTTTCTGTCTTTCAGCGGAGTTGTTAATCTCTCGCAGTGGAGGCCCGAACAACCTGAAACAGCAAATCTCCACATTATAAATTGTGTCCGATAGCTAGACCTCAGAATTCCGCGCCTGGTGCGTGAACACTGAGCCCTAAGAATGCTCAAGATGCCTTACGTGTCTGTCTCTGTGAGCTTTGAGCAACAGCAGAGATTCCTGAGAATCCTAATAATGCCTTCGTGTGCACGTGAACAAAAACACTGAACACATTTGTCAATAACACTGTAGCCTTAAAAGGAAAAGTATATAATAGGCGATGTTTGGCATATGGCCCTTCTTCATTGCAGATCAAAAACAAGACCAGATATAGAGTGGATAAGAGTTGGAGACTGCATTTAACAACCATGGGTGTCTCTACACGTTGGTCACTTTGGAGGATGTGTATTATACCTCGGTTCTTTGTCTCTGTGTGATTGTTGGTCAGATACAAACATAGAGACACAGTGAGATGTGTCTGTAGTGGTTGTTGGTCAGACACAGAGAGACACAGTGAGATGTCTCTGTAGTGGATGTTGGTCAGACACAAACACAGAGACACAGTGAGATGTGTCTGTGTGGATGTTGGTCAGACACAAACAGAGAGACATAGTGAGATGTCTCTGTAGTGGATGTTGGTCAGACACAGAGAGACACAGTGAGATGTCTCTGTAGTGGTTGTTGGTCAGACACAGAGAGACACAGTGAGATGTCTCTGTAGTGGATGTTGGTCAGACACAAACACAGAGACACAGTGAGATGTGTCTGTGTGGATGTTGGTCAGACACAAACAGAGAGACATAGTGAGATGTCTCTGTAGTGGATGTTGGTCAGACACAGAGAGACACAGTGAGATGTCTCTGTAGTGGATGTTGGTCAGACACAAACACAGAGACACAGTGATATGTCTCTGTAGTGGATGTTGGTCAGACACAAACACAGAGACACAGTGAGATGTGTCTGTGTGGATGTTGGTCAGACACAAACACAGAGACACAGTGATGATCGTAAGTCGGGGACTACCTGTAGATAGGCCCTGTAGGTTACTGCGGGGATGTAGGGAGCGGTGGTGCAGCGGCGAAACCCCAAGAAAAAAATATTTGAATCGGTTCTGGGCCTCCCCTAAGTCGACTCCGCCTCAAATGAGTACCTGGTGCGGTGGACTCGAGACGTGGTGCCGGTAGGACGAGTCGATGATGATGGATGGATGAGGATGGAGAGTGGACGACTTTAGGAGGAGGAGGAGGCAGCCGGAAGTGACGTCACGCCCACACTCGTAAGCCACGCCCAGGCCCCTCCCCCCTCCCCCCACCTCTAACGGAACGTTGGGCTTGATTTGTAAGAATATTTTTATTCGCGCACGCATGCACACACACATACAAGACAAACGGTACAAATTTAAAAAAACACACACACAAGGTACAAAAAAAATAAGCGGTGCAGGTGAGGTTGGAAACCCAAGAGGGTTTATATGAAAAGCAGACCACATTTTTTCTTCGATTTAAAGCTTCTTTGGTGACTGCAGGGATTCATATTCTTGGTTCTTTCGGTAAAGTCACATAGAATGGAAATAATAAATAATAAAAATAAAACATAATAAAATAATTCTCACGACGTTTCGACCACAACAGGTCTGTCGAGAGACAGACTATGTCTCCTCGACAGACCTGTTCTTCGTCAGACGCTGTCTTTCCGACAGACCTGTTCTCCACCTGAAGACCGCTGCATCTTTCTTGTCTTAAAGCTTTCGTGACTGCAGGGATTCATACTCTTGGTTCTTTCGGTAAAGTCTTTACCGAAAAAACCAAGAACATCTTAACACAGCAGTTTTGTTGCCAGAAAAAAGGGGAAAACTTATTGTCAAAAGCATCTTTCTTGACTTAAAGCTTCAGTGGCTGCAGGAATTCAGTGGCTTTACCGAAAGACCCCCAAAAAAATATTTGTTTTTGTGTGCGCTTATGTGTGTGTGTGTGACTTGGGCTCCATGGATGATACTAACTTATTTCGCGCACCGCACCGTAACACCTGCCCAGTGCGAAGAGTAGGCCAACCCTGTGCTTGTGAAATGTGGAAACCCTCGAATGGAATATCTGCACCGGTTAGAAACATTCAGGCTGGCCTGCCTATGATCCATCCTGGGTTTTAACCAGGCTGGATTATTTAAGGAGCTCACAAATCCTTGAAAGATCTGGAAATCTCCATCAGTGAGCTCCTCTGGCAAGCAAGGCTGCATTAGCTGGGTCATATAGCCCACATTCCCAACCACCGCTTGCCGAGAAAGCTGTTTGGCCAGATAAAGGGGGCTAAACGGACACGACACGGGTTGGAAAAGAGATGTATGTGGTACAGGAGGATATGGAGCTGAGTGGACTTCCCTTACCACTGACTTTTTCCACACCATACTCTTTGGTTCTTTCGGTAAAGTCACGTAGGTATAAAATAAAATAAATAAAATCACGACGTTTCGGGCGCAACACAAGCGTCCGTCACCAGGTGGGACAACCACAGCAACAAACAATATGCTGACGTGGGCAAAAGGGCTGCTGCAACAAGAGGCTATATAGGTAAGAGATGGGGGGTGGGGGAGCCAGGGAGGAGAGACAGGGAGGGGGTGGGGGGTAGGGGGAGTGGATGCTACAAGACACAATCACGGCAGAAGATACCGGGGTGGGGAGGGGAAGTGGACAGGCTGGGAGTGGGAGGGTAGGTTTTCCATACCAGTTTAACCAATATCTATAACACAGCAGAGGTCGCAACCGGGTACCCGATACCCGTACCCTACCTGATACCCGGCTACCCGTACCCGGCTGGGTACGGGTAGCCGTTTGCGACTCTGGTGCGGCCTGGTACGGGTAGGCGTGAGTCACTGGTAACTGTTTGTCACTCATTTCCCAACGTCTTGTCTCTTCTCACAATTCAAGTTCATAGAATCAACCCACCCGCGCCTGCAACATGGCTTCATCCCAGAGGTCGCAATCAGGTACCCGATACCCGTACCCTACCCGTACACGGCCGGGTACGGGTAGGGTACGGGAACTGCCAGGTACGGGTACCCGTTTGCGACTCTGGTGCGGCTGGGTACGGGTACGGGTAAGGAATCAAAACCCGTTTGCGACCTCTGTAACACGGTGTTCTTTTTGGTTAGATGGCGTAGATATAGAAATATCTTCAAACCCGCCATCACCCGACAGGCAACGTAGTAAGGTTTGTCACGTGAACAGAACGTGCCAATTCGTTACTTGCGCAGCACACCGTGGGTTGTGTTGGAGAGCGAAGCCACCACGTTGATCTGTGTTTGTGTTCGCGTACGGATCAAGGCTGTCATGTTTTAATAAACAAAAGATTCTACACTATGGGAACCTCATTTGCCAGTAAAAATATGATAATTGCTTTTTTACCCTTCTATCTGGCAACAAAACTGACACCTTTTTACAAGGAGTCATGTTTGCATAGACTGCTATACCTGCAGTCATAAATACAAACAAAAGACATAACTCTGATAATGTATGCACTGTCCTTGAAGTTGATTGGTCCACACCCAACTTCAAGGACAGTGCACTTTATCAGAGTTATGTTCTTATGTTTGTATTATGACTGCTGGTATTGCGGTCTATGCAAACATGACTCCTCGTAAAAAGGTGTCAGTTTTGTTGCCAGATAGAAGGGTAAACAACCAATTATCAAACAAAAAATTATCGTTGAAGTAATTCGTGGATGGAGAACGCCAGCCCACACACTGGGCTGCCTCTTGATGCTGGTTGGCTTCCCCACTGCACCGACGGGCATTCATCGTCCGTCCTGTCGCGTTTGTGATCCGCAAATCGTCTCTTTGAACGCGGCAGTCGCGTGACAGGAAATCACTTGAACAATTTTTTTTTTCAAATGCACTTCACCTACCCCTCTCATCTCACTCCACTCCCCTCCACACACTCTCAGACCTCTTCCCCTCTCATCTCACCGTGTTCGCGTGCATTTTCACATGCAAAGTTTTATTCGCATTCACATCTTCAACCTCCCAGTTCCCCAGCTTGAAAAACTCCCCTCCCCGTCCCGGTGTCGGCCGTCCTTCTCCCGACTTTGGCGTCTCCCGCGCCTCCAGGCGCACCACCACCTCGTCGTCGTCGTCGGAGCCTTTGCGAGGAAGCTTGGGAGAGCGACCGCCCTCCTCCTCCGTACTACTACCACCGCCACCACCGCCACCACCGCCGCCTCCACCCAAGTTGTTGGCTATCCACGAGACTTCCCGTGGCCGGCGCCTGAGACACCGTGGGCAGCAGCGGCGCCCTGCGGCCAGCAGGACGCTCAGCAGGCAGACGGCCAGCGACAGGGGCAGCAGCACAGGCAGCAGGGAGCCTGGGGGAGGGGCAGGGGGAGGGAGGGGGAGGGGGCAGGGGGAGGGAGGGGGAGAGGGGGAGGCAGGGAGGGGATGGAGGGGAGGGAACAGAGGGAGGGAGGGAGGGAGGGAGGAGGGGGGTGGAGGGAGGGGGGGAGGCAGGGAGGGGAGGGGGCAGGGGAAGGGAGGGGGAGGGAGGAGGGGGGGAGGCAGGGAGGGGAGGGAGGGGAGGGGGAGGAGGGGGGATGGGGGAGGGGGGAGGGGAGGATGGGGAGGGAGGGGGAGGGAGAGGGAGGGGAAGGGAGCAGGGGGGTGGAGGGAGGGGGGGAGGCAGGGAGGGGAGGGAGGGGAGGGGGCAGGGGAGTGAAACCACAGACTCCAAATACTCCTCTACTTAGCTACTCAGTCTCTACTACTACTACACTACTCAGTGTTCACCGGACCGGCCGCTGTCACCCCCCCCCCCACTCACGATCAATGGCGGCGGAAGCCGGGGGGACAGATCTTCCGCTGTCGATGCTCGTGACGCCCACGCCGGACGCACACGAAGAACCAACACCACGAACACCATCAACACCATCAACGCTGCACTCCTCCTCGTCGTCATCCACCTTCTCTCCTGATGGTGCACAAAAAACCAGGAAGGCCGTACGTACGTCTATGGGTCTCTGTGTGGTGAGTCCATGGGTCTCTGTGTGGTGAGTCTATGGGTCTGTGTGTGATGAGTCTATGGGTCTCTGTTGAGTATATGGGTCTCTGTGTGGTGAGTCTATGGATATCTGTCTGGTGAGTCTATGGGTCTGTGTGTGGTGAGTCTATGGGTCTCTGTGTGGTGAGTCTATGGCTCTCTGTGTGGTGAGTCTATGGATCTCTGTCTGGTGAGTCTATGGGTCTCTGTGTGATGAGTCTGTGGGTCTCTGTTGAGTATATGGGTCTCTGTGTGGTGAGTCTATGGGTCTCTGTGTGGTGAGTCTATGGGTCTGTGTGTGGCGAGTCTATGGGTCTCTGTTGAGTATATGGCTCTCTGTGTGGTGAGTCTATGGATCTCTGTCTGGTGAGTCTATGGGTCTGTGTGTGATGAGTCTGTGGGTCTCTGTTGAGTATATGGGTCTCTGTGTGGTGAGTCTATGGATCTCTGTCTGGTGAGTCTATGGGTCTGAGTGTGATGAGTCTATGGGTCTCTGTTGAGTCTATGGGTCTCTGTGTGATGAGTCTGTAATAAAAGACTCCGTCAGGCACTGCTGGTCTCCGCTTGTCTTTTATTCAGGTTCTTCTCCGCACCCCGCTGGTCTCCTCCTAGGACCAACGTCGTCTCCTCTCACGTGCCCTGCACGCTCCCTCTCCCTCTCGCGTGCCCCGCACGCTCCCTCTCGCGTGCCACGCACGCTCCTCCGTTAGCTCCCCTACTCCCGCACTCCACACACCGCTGGCCGTGGCCGATCCCTCAGCGGTGGGCCGGAGCGCGACTCCGCTCACCCTCGAGGAACCCACTGGCCCGCCGCCGCAGTGAGATCGCCAGGCCCCCTCTCGTCCGGCACGAAAACAGCCTTCGACGGAGTCCACCCGACGGCATCTCCCTCCACGGTCGGGCTCCCCGTCCAGGCGGTCATCTGCGCCCAACGGCGCAAGTTGAACTGCGCATCGAGGCACTTGGCTGCCATCCGGGAGGTCAGCTGCTCATGGCCGCACACCGGCAGCGGAATGCCCAAGTCCTTGGACAGCTCCAACATCTTACCCAGTATCAAGGGCTCCAACAAGTCGGGCTCCATCTCTGGATACGCGGCCATGGCCAGCTCAAGCACAGCACCCCGGAAAGCCACAGGCGATTCCTCGGGTACCCGTTGCCTCTGGACGAATTTGCGGTGTGCATCGTCCGGAGGCTCGTACGCTTCCGCCATTTCGTCAAACGCCCCTTTCAG